ATTTTCGGTTTTTGAGACTGCGGACGGACACAAGGGGGTGCTCGTCTATGTTGACAGACTCAGCAAGATGGTTCGCATCGCTGCGTGTGGCAATTCCATCGATTCCGGGGGTTCGACTAAATTGTTCATTGATCACGTTTTATGCAATAATGGGTTGCCACATGCCATCGTCTCCGATCGTGATACACGATTCACGAGTAGCGTAAGGAAAAAATTGTTCGAAGTCTTAGCGGTACACTCAGAGATCGATGGGCAAACAGAACGTGCCAAATGAGTGGTCCGTGATGTGTTGAGAAGCTTTATGCGGGAAATTTTGCAGAAAGAAGTTTTTTATTACCATTGTTTGTGTCTGCCTAGAACATTTTGGTTTATTCATCCACGATTCACGCCATTTTTTGTGAATAGCTGGCGACACCCAGATTTACCGCTTTGTGCGATCTTCGATGTAAGTGTGGGAGGAGCTCGACGAACCGTTCATTTTCAAATTGATTCAATCAGTAATGCAAACGTGATGCACTAGTACAAGGACACACTTTTCTCATTCACTATGGGTTGCGTGAATGTGATCATACGGGTGCGAGATGCAATGGCGAATGCGGAAGATCTGCAAAAGGAATACGCATACAGATGAGGTCATCAGGTCAAAATGTCTTTTACTGTTGAGCTATGTACTACTTAGTGCATACGAATATGGCTTTAGAGCGACGGCTTCGGCACGAGGATCAATAATTGAATTCCTTGGCGCCATCGCCTCAGCATCATCCTCAAAATGACGTGAATAATCAGAAACGCCCGAAACAGAGCGAGTTCGCAGGAGGCGCCACATCTTCAGCGGAAGCAGTCACAACAAAAGGGAAGAACTTAATTGAACTTGCTCCAATCGATAGATCTGAATCTCGATTGCAACCCCCAAGCGAGTTTCCACGACGCCATGCGAAATCGCGAACTTCGCGAACGACCTGTCAAAATTCCTTCACGCGTTGTCGCGTCGACGACACCCGATCGGTCACCTCGTCGAGTTGCTTGTTCGTCAGCGAGAGAAGATTCGTCGCCTTCGTCAAGCACAACTTCAAGGCGGACGAAGACTGTCGACCAGCTACAGAAGAAGCAGAGAGGTCATTCTCTCCGGGTACCTCACCCTCTTCTAGATCGACAGAGATATCGATAGTACACATTAAAAACGTGGTGGCGGAGAGAAATGTCCGCGGCCCGAAGGAGCTCTTTGTGAAATGGCTGGGATATTTGTCGAGCGAGTATTCGTGGAAGCTTCGAACTCGTATTCTTCTCGACTGTCTCAATATCGTTCGTGCGCTCGATGCGGATCCGAAGACGGACTTCGCTTAGGAACAGTGTCCCTTTCTTTTCTATGTTCGAACGTACTTCACGAGCATTTTTTGATATCGGAGTGAAATTGATTCTGCGCTGTCAAATGCGCAAATCAAAAGCACATACCGCGTACCATTAACAAGTCTTAAGCGCTACTAGCGCTTTGCAAACGGTGAGTGTCGACAGATATCGTCGCATGAATTCATGCCCAGACTCGAGGATCGGTTGTCTAGATGGAATCCAGATTGAATTGTGGAACGTATGGTACATCCGTGAGGCTTCGTATTTCACCTTCAACACGAAAAATCGGTCTGATGGCGCGCAACTACGCGGTTCAAGTCATCAGTCGAGCACCTATTCGACCAGAGAGTTCGTTGAACTCTATGGGAAAACCAACACGTCGGTCGGGAAAGTCATCAGAATGATCAAGTTTACAATAGCGCAATGTGCTGGATGACATTGGAAATGGAGCATTATCCAAGTTTGATGGTGGCAAAAATATCATGTGGAGCAAGCGATGGGCTGTCATTCTAGCGAGAGTTGGACAGAGCGTGACAACGAGTGCGAGGAAGATTTTAAGATGAAGTAAAGAAATAGTCAAACTACCTCTGAATGGGTGGTGGTGTAATGGGCCGGGTCCATTACACATGTTGTGTGGACCACATACTTACGTCTGTTTAACATAAAACACACACCCTGTATAGTTGCATTGTCTCCTTCAATTCTGTTGTGTCAAACTGGAGGTTATTATCAGGTTTGGAGGGTTTGAAGCCTATTGGCCATACTTTTAAATGTCACGTTACCTTTTCCCTCTCGTTCGCGTAGATCAACGGCTCGCTGGATGCGAGCAACACTCAGTGAAGCGTGTTTACCGATCGAAGTCATCCTCAATAAATACAGGCGGGCCATTCCCGTTACACTATCAGCTAGCGAGATCTGTGCGCGCTGACGCGTTCATCTCTTTCCGCTTGTACTTAGAAGATGAAAAAGTCTGTGTCAAAGACGGAGGCGTCACATACGACATAAATAACTAAAATGAATTTGAAAGTGCGAGAATCGATACATGCGCGAGGATGTTCCACAGCCTTATAGACCGCTTATTATAATTTCCGCTGCACACCAAAACCAATCAACATCTTCATAACGAAAAGTGATGAAAGTGGGTCGTGCCGAGTTGGCATAGTTTGTACTGTGCTTGTGAAACGAGCTGGCCAGGCCAAGCCACTTGTGAGCCTAGAATGGCCTTCATCTCTAGGAGATCTGCCCGCAGGCCAAGCTTCCCATGAAAGCCATCTTTCGGCGCCGAAGCCAATTGAATTATACTGGCCACTAGCTTATATAAGCGTATACACTTGATCACTGCTCGCAGAAGCCAATTGTAGTTCTTCACATCCGCTCGTTATCTGCATGATTATTGACGAATAAATCGTCAAAAAAGGCTTGTGCATGGCCACTATTTGACCTGAACAGCGGTTATATTAGACGTCGCCGTTGTGTTGCAGAGTCCTTTAAATATTAAAGGCCACTCCCAGTGCATCCCCGCTCGAAGTAATAGGAAATTTAAAAAATATCGTTGGCTCTCATCAGCACTCGATAATCTTGATCACCAAGGTCGAGAGTAATGAGAATGGTGCGGCCGTCCATTTTCTTCTTCTTCACTTACTCTCTATGAATCAGCGTCCGTGCCAGAATTGTGACCATCTTGCTTGTTGTGAGCATGCGCAATTATTCATTAGCCTTTTTGTCTTAAAAAGTTGGCGCCGAATGAGAAATAATACTTTTTTTCAGCCAGATTACTCTGTGGTTTTTACAAATGATAGTGTCAACGAAGTTAGACTGTTCCCTTGGTATGATTCATTGCCGAACTACGCGATGTTTAGTTTCAGTAACCCAAACCAAATTTTATGACGCATTTTCTTTCCGGAAATATCACGGGTGTTGGGTCTGTTGACACCATATCGCTACAATCCCTTCACAAAGGATCAAAAGATCTGTAGGATGCTTGAAGATCGTTGTCTCACTTTTCGGTCTCAGTGCACTGTGATTGTTTACAATAATAAATCAAAAATGACAATTGATAAGCTCACTTCCTTCCTCGGTACCAATTTTACCATTTTGTGGCCTCAGCGTCTTATTTCTTGCACATGGTTCATGCCTCGCCAAAGCTCCACCAGGGGAGAAGTAAGTGGCACTTTACATTTCGACTGTCAATTGACCCATGACTCGTGATTTCAAACAACGCCATATCCAGGATACTTTTTTCAAATATAGGTCCAGGACTGGGCAACATTTCACGCTATCACGGAACCTCAGCTTTACTTGAGTAGTTGGTAGAGCCTTCGACATTCGAACAGAGCCCAAGCGCAAGACGAACGGAAATCGTAATCGTTTTTGCATATTCAATGCCGCCGCGCGGGAGTCGTATATAATTGCAAGATTTTTATAAATTTATCAGAACAGTCCACTTAAATGTATTAGCAATAATCAACAAGCTTTGGCTGCTATACCCACTTCTCTTAAGAAATATTTTCCCTTTCTCGGGTTTTATATTACTAATCGCGACCTCCACGAGGCACAATACAGTAAGACGCCCTGTGGTAGCTGGTACCCTTAAAGTCTTCTTGAGGGTTTGTCGACAGAGCCCCCCCCCTCGGCTGGGCGAGGGGGGCTCCCAAGGTGTGAATGGTTCATAATTCAGCACGATCAACATCAGCAAAGACCGCTATGCTGATCAGCAACACAAAATTACTCTTCACTACTCACTATAATCGCATCAAGAGGTTCCTCTCCCAGTACCTCATCGGGCCCTCGCAACAAAGAAGTTGTACTACGGAGTCAAAGCGACACCGTTGGATCTATCAAACATTTTGATAATCAGGAAGGTAAGATTCGAGCCGCACCACTTCAGAGGTCATAGATGAGAAAGTGGTACTGATAATCACAACCGCCTCCGAGAGAGGTTAAAAAGCCTTTGCGGTGATAAACGGACTATATTCCTGAGCAGATTGCACAAGTGCTCAGCATAATTGACGGGTGGACATCAACTTCAAGTGGTAGATGTGCGTTCGCCCGAGATGTCTGCTGCAAGTTTGTGTCAATCTTGGCGCGAGATCTACTAGCCGTGAAACCGCAAACGCGACGCAATGCTTTCCCGTTTGTAATTAAGCTGGATTTATCAACATCTTAGACCCCTACTTTCAAAGAAAAAATGTCTTGGCTTTTAAACCAGCCAACGCACCATTAGCGGCACGGTGGGTGCCATCTGTACTCCCTCAGTGCACATTTCAAGCGCCTCTGGAGTTGTCCCACCAGCCCATTCTCATATCTGACAAGCGTTTCCAAGTGTTTTCATTATCGCATCAGGCCCTTAAGCCGTTAATTTGTAACCTCATCAGCGATATACACGAGCTTTTTAAGTTAGTTTAGTTGTTTTGGGGACAGGTATTTTCCATCTCATTTTCCACCCTTACAGAGAATTTAGCCCTTTCACGACCAAGTTAAAGGATTGACTACTAGTGTTTCCAAGTGCAACAGGGTGTCAGTGCTCTTTCCAACGAGGCTGCATTCAATATATTACTTTACTAATACTGCATTTGTACGTTGAACAGTACCTTGAAAACTGTATCCATTGTTTGATGTGCATCCCACAGTATACGTGTACCACAAATTTCGCTTTACAGAGCTTGACCATCTTCACAGATGCTGATTTCCCAGAACCTATGAATGTTAATAATAACACAAAATCGCAAAGTGACTTTTGAGCGATTGTTCAGTACTGACTAAGAAATATAAGGAGAAAGCTCGCAAGATAACACTACCTGCTCCGTAACATTAGGCTGATGCCTTATTTGCTGGCTCTCAGCACATTTCCGGCACACTCAAGCTGACATAAGTACTCCTCGCTATCGATCAAATTCATATTTTGGTTCCTTAATTGTACTTCTACATTCAATGCTAACGTTGAAAAATAAAACGATTATTTTGTTCGAGGATACATAATTATCATCTCTCGTCGGTATTTGCGATGTATGGTCGATCGAAGTTCATTCAAACGGAAGCGCTGTGTCCGATTTCTTAGTGCCGCCCTACAGAAGAGCATTTGCAGTTACACGTGGTCCAGTACTCTTGACCTGGTTTGTAAGCGCTTCCAACTGCTCGTGAGCAAAATATCTATCCCTCTGTCAGAAGCGAGTACTTTGAATTGAATACTACGGTAGCGGCTGGTAATCCTTTAGGGATTATGTACTCAGTCAGCGACCATCAACGCTCTGAAGACGCTTATAGTCAAGCAAAATCGTGCTTTTGACCTACTTAAACGATACATTTTTTATGTATGCGTACAGCACATCAAACACTTGCAAGCAGTCCTTAATTGTATACGCATTAAAAAGCTGATTTTCAACATAGTCAAGCATGCAAATGGCGCCAACGTAAATTAATTTCTAGTATGCGTCATTGGGGCAAGGTCTGTGATCAGATCTATGGTCAAAGCCATCTTGTGTTGGCCAGTGCCGCTATCTTGGGGCGTTTTTGTAAGAAATCAGATATGGTGATATGCTTCGCCAAACATCTTAAATGATACAGACACTGAGCCGCGGACTCACTAGGGCTGAAAACAATATCTGCTGAAATGAAGGGGATGCTTACACTCTGAATGAGCCCTATATCTCGCTTTGGCAAGACTGCCATGGCGCCGTTATTACTCACAATTTGGCGCACTCTTTGTCTCTTACTGCTCATAGATAAGATAGGTCGCGTAGCGCAACGCGCTCCCGACTCACAAAGGGGGGTTCAAGTTCAAAGCCTACGTGTCTCACGGACTCCTACCGTTTGACAACAACGCATGATATTACTTTGTAACGTAGTACTTCTAAGATCCGCGCCACATGGTGCTGTGTGTAAGTACACCGTAATAAGGGTTATTGCACGTTGTATTACCCCTATCGGTTGGCTGGAACCAGAGCCATACGTACATCAAATTTTGATCTCAGAGCTATTTTTTGTCAACCCGGCCTAAAAGCATTATAAATGTCTCATTTTTGACTTAGCTTGTTGTGTTTACCTAAGTTGCTACGGCTGGGCACGAGGTTAGATGACGTTGCACCAGCACCATCAAAAACGATTGTCGGCTCGGGCTCATGTAGCCAGAAGAATTTTGCTCAAACAAGTGATCACAATGATGAGGACTGCAAGTTGCTTATAGTATACTGTTTCCGGGGCTGCTCTGCTATGACACGAGCGATAAGAATTCCGTGAATCAAATACTAAATTTGAACGCCTTAGCAAATATAAACAAATACCGTATTTTATGTATTGCGTACGACTAGCAGCCCAAACGTACTAAGACCTCTTCTTTACGAAGACCTGACATCGACATAAGTACCGATGTTTCGGTGACCGACGCCCTAGAAGCTATAATCGATAAGGAGGCCAAAATCCACGGTCGCAACTCTCCGTGTTTTGGTCTGGCTATTAAACCTGACGATACGCGTCCGAGCTGTTCGCTGAGGTTGAAGTTCATTACGAACCACCTTTCCACTGCGCAAAATGCATACTTTGTACCCTCTTTAACGGCGGAGAGTATTGTGACACTACCGCAGAAATGATGAAAATGTACAGCCGGTCACTGATGAGATAAACCGTGCTCAAGGTGCCCGTCTTGCTCGTTTGTAAGTGCAAGAGTCACAAAGACTATTTCTCATATCATCAAATTGTTATTACGGTGTAAACCACCAGTAGTCGCTCGTCGCGCTGGAGCGGAAACCTTTCACGTGCGTGTAGGGCGCTCGCTACCGCCGAGAGTAAAAAAGGCCCAGGATAGTCGCCCATGAGCGCGTTCTATCCCCGCAGGTCATGCCTTCATGACTATCGCTTGTGCTTGGTGTAGCATCTGAACAAAATGGTAGTCTTCGTGAGAACGTGCTTGAAGTGGGAGAGGAGCCAAATGATGCAGTATCAAACTCACGCACTGGATGAAGAAAAGCGTCGTCTCGTCCGTCTTGGAGCTTTGTAAACCGGCTGAAATTAGTTGACGTCCATCAAGAGCGAGCATTAATCCTTTACTTTTGCGGAGCCCGAGTTAAGAAAGTCACCTCAGTTTCTGCTGTGAATCGCCCCAGTCATCTTCAGGGGGAATTGTTACATCTATCGAACTTCGATCAAGGTAGTAACCCAAACGCTGGTTGATATCGCGCAGCGACGTGCAGTCTCATCGTTTCATTAAAGAAGACAATCCACGAGATTTGTCTGGTCTTCTGTCAGCGATCAGCAAAATTATTATCATAGTCAGTTTGAAACCTAATGCCTTGCCAAAAGTTCGTTCAACGACAAAATTGAGCTTCATGCGCTGAGTGCGTGACACTATGGCTGAGAGCTAGTATGTGTAAAGATGATGAGTAGCCGGCGAGATAGTCGGCGAAATTCCCAAGAACTTTTTGTGGTCTAAAAGAATTTGTTGAACAAGGTAATGTAACGAGTTTACACATATCCTGGTACCAGACGGGTGGTGTGACCACACCCAAACAAGAATACGGTACGGGGCTGGATAGCCAGTAGCTATACATGTATTTAGATTTT